TGGAAGTTGGTTGTTCATATTTTTCTGGCAGATGATGCAGGGAGAGAGAGGTGTTGACCAGTGCTGGTGGTGTTTACCGGAAAATTGAGAGTGGTGGTTCGACTGGCGGTGGTAGGTTGACTGGTTGTGGTCTGTGACGGAATGCAGAGAAAGAAAGTGTGTGTGTGTGTATGTGTGTGTAAGAGAGAGAGAGGGAGAGAGAGAGAGAGAGAGAGAGAGAGATAGAGTTATTACGGAAGCAATGTTTTGAAAACCGGACCGGACGTCGAACCGACCGTCCCACCGGGTCGATGGTTCAATTAGTTCGACCGGTTGAACCAATCCCAAAAACCGGATGAATCGGATGACGTCATATATATATATATATATATATATATATATATATATATATATATATATATATATATATATATATATATATATATTACGATTTAAAATAAAACAACACATTTTGAAGTTTTGTGTTTTAATAATTTATATGATTCTTTCTTAAATGTTTCTTATAAAGATAATAGAAAAAATAAAAAGAAAAAAGAAAAAAACTATCCTAGTATTGAGTGTAGAGTGGAATACGGAGACTCCATTGTAATTGTTATATATGTTTATTTAGTTTGCTCCCACGTCCCACATCACCAAAAAACTGAAGCAGGGGCTTTTAGAGTTCTATATAAAGAAGCCAAGTACTAACGATGCATAGAAACACATTTCAAATAAAAATGGGACCCTTCCTTTGGTTTTCACTCAGTACAAATTTTATATCTATCTTTTTAAAACCACCGGTTTTTTCCGGTTGGACCACATCGGTTTTCACCGGGTTTTGGTTAAATCGTCGGTTTTTTCCGGTTTGGCTTACAAGCGGTTTTATCGCCTTAAAAAACCGGTACCACAGCCGGTTCCCGGTTCAACCGGCCGGTCCGATCCGGTTTTTAAAACAGTGTACGGAAGAGAATTGGATGGAGTAATTTTTTTAATTTACAAAAATATTATATTAAATAAAAAAATAGAAAATAAAAATACAGAGGATAAATTCGTCATTTTAAGAAATTCAAACCAAAATTGACACAAGAAAATGAAAACCTTGAGCTCAGTCCAAACTTTTTGGTCCAAAATGATAATTTTCATCTAACTATAGATCACTCTTACAGTTTTATCAACCATATAATATAAGACATTGTAAAAAATAAAAATGTATGATACTTATTTTACCAATATATTCAATGTACTATAAAACGATACTTACATTTCTCTACTCATAATAATAATATGTAAACCATAAAAAGCAACGTATTTACGATTTTGTATCATAATTAGATCAAACATCATCATACTTCCATTTCTTTATGGCCAATAACAATATGCAAAATGAATCTTGCAAACAGTTCACAAGTTTCAGTTTATATATGGTTGTAGTGAAGGTAAAGGGCTACGTTCACACTTATCATGTTGCTATTATGGATAAAAAAGAAAGTGAAAATAACAAAATTAGCCATATTTTTAATCATTTGCCATGTAATGCCCAAAAAAATCCAATTCCTAAATATAACCACACATTTTGCAGAGGACCCACTACGAAATGTAGTGGACATTTCAAAATGCTATACATATGTTAATAACCTTAAAATAACTTGTGCAATGAAGCACTATGAAAAAAAAAATCTGTGAATTTGTTCATATTTTTATGAGATTCATTTATCAAGAAAGCATTTTTTTTGTTGTTGTAGGGATCTTCAAAGACCATTTTTGCATCAATGGGAGAGCTTCATATTGCGAAAACAAAATCTAAGGTTGAGAGATTTTACCAAAAATTTAACATAAAAATGAGGAAAACTGAAGAAAAAAAAAAGTCTTAAATATAAAGGACCATTTCGTAGAAAATAGTGCATTTTCGATGGGTCCGCTAAGAAATGTGTCGGTTACAAATGAGTACGTTTGGTTTGTTCATTGGGTTTCGTGAGATTTGGTTGGAATTGGAATCAAATACATTTCAATCATGTGTTCGTTGCAAATGAGTAGGTAAGTAGGTAACTAAATTTCATTGGAATTCACAAAATCCTATGATCAATGGATTTCAAAATCCATCTTACAATTTCACAAATACCTGTTTAACCTTAGAATTTCACTAAGGTTTTAATTCCAAGCATGTCCTTGTTAAAAATACTCAAATACGTTTAACACTAAAATTTCACAAGTAAACTATTCTCCATATGTTTTCCCTCTTCCTATTCAAAAATGCTCATTGATTCTATTTCATTTATTGTCAACCAAATGTGTGGAGAATTCAATTCCCTTAGATTCCATTTCTTTTGACAAATCTGAACTACAATTATAGTGTTACATTAAACATTTTACAATCGGTTCTTAATATAAATTTCGTAGATACATTCCATAAAATGATTTATCAAGTGCTTGACCGGAAATATCAAGTGATGTGAACTGTGAAGTGCTTCAAATATGTAGAATAGAAACTTTTTTTTATAGATACACATCTTTGTTATCTTTATATATCAAAATATAGTAATCATATATCTTCATCTCCACGGTTCACAAAAGTTTGATCATTTTTTCAAACAATCAATAATATTAAGTACTCTGTCAGCTAAATATCTTGCCAAAAGAGAAAAACAACAATACTAAAATGCAATTTAATAAACAATTTAAGGGTAATTTCACAAAAGACCCATAACTTTTAACGATTTTCCGGTTTAAATCAAAACTTTTTTTCTTTTACAAAAAACCTACACTTTTCACATATTTTTCTATTTTGCTCCATTATCAATTTGCACATTAACTTCCGGTATATAAAGTTCAATTTGACGATTATACTATTTAAACCAAAGCTTTTTTTTCCAAAAAAATAATCTACAACTTTCCCCAAAAAAAAAAATATTTAACTTTCCCGAATGACCAAAGGGTTAAAAAAAACATTTTTCCTAGCGTGGTATCATTATACGACTTATTTATATCACTAAAAAAACATTCTTTAAAATAAGCGAAGAGGAACTAATATCTTTTTTCCAAACTTCAAAATATAAAGAGGAGCTTATATGTCTTGTTTGATTTATTCATTCATCAACCAAGTTATCACCTGATCTCTTATTTTTCTAGAGGCATACTGAATTTACACTTCCAAATCTACCAATCGTCATCATCTTCTTGGTGATTTGAATGCTCAACTTATTTTGGGTTAGGATGTTTTTATTATGTTAAAGAAGTAAGTATATCAGTATATGAATATAGTCACAACATAACATGCATGAAACTGAACTAGGTCATATTACTTCACACTTAAATATATTTGCATATAGCAGGAGGGAATAAAGGAGTATTTCCTGCAGGGTTGCACATACATCTTAGCGTTATATGAATATGATGTGATCAATGAAGTCTCTTCAAAGGGGTTGGGTTAGATTAGATTCTTCATGAATAATCTTATATGAATATGATCAGCTTTTCATGCCTAAAACATTTGCATCTATCATCAATCAATCATATACCATTTATATATACACTCCAAAACATGTTATATCAGTAGTACAAGAATGCAGCAGCATTGACAATCAATCATGGTTCATGGATGGTGTACATGTCAATGAGAAAGAAGATTCTTTTTTGTTTTTGTGAAAATGAAAATGATTTTGTGTTTGGTCAAGAAAGATGATTCGTTACAAGGTATATAAGGTGAAAAGTTACAGTTGCATCAAGGCATCAATCTGATTCTGATAATAAATATTTTGTTTTGATGACATTAATTGGATATATAGCAACGTATTTCAAGTGAGAATGGAACATAATTCATCATAGTATACAGTATACACAAACATAGTCGGACACATGCATGTTGCATCAAGATCATGTAAAATGTTTTCTGTTAATTAAAGTCTTTTTGGGTTTACTGAAAACATCATTGTGTATATATAATATATAGTCTTGCTCATGACTTACTTATGATGCTTCTTTAAGTTCATTTTTTTGACAAAAGATGCAATCGGATATATTAATCACAAGTGCAAAAAATAATTCCAAAATCCAAACAATAAAACTGAAATATTGAAACTTGAAAAATAAGGCTAATAATTCTTTTTGGTTATATAAAATTATAAACAACCAGATTCGTTTTTATAGAGAAAAAGAAAAAAGCAGAACACAAGTTGAGATGGCCGAGTTGGTCTAAGGCGCCAGATTAAGGTTCTGGTCCGAAAGGGCGTGGGTTCAAATCCCACTCTCAACATTTCTAAGATTTTTTTATAATGCGTTTTAAACATATAGTTTGAACAGAAATTGAGTTATATTTATACGGAATCTTAAAATAAAAAATAAAAAATAAAAAACAAACACCAGCGAAGAGTAACTAAAGCTTTGACTAAACAATCATAACTCATGGATGTCACATACACGATGTACTCTAATGCTCTTCACAAAAGGACTACTTTAGATGATTGTTTGCTTTTACCATGTATCTCCGTAAGAGAAGCATCACATACAAATTTCTATGGTTCATTTTTTATATTCATATTCATTCAAGTGTAATAAAATAACTTATAAGATACAATATTGGTAAGTATATATATATATATATATATATATATATATATATATATATATATATATATATATATATATAGAGAGAGAGAGAGAGAGAGAGAGAAAAAAAAAGAGGTAGGTTCAAATGTTTCTAGCAACTATTGTGTGCATAAATATACCAATAGAAAATTAAGAAAAAATAAATAATTAAAGAAATCATTTAAAGGTATTATAGTAATCTTTGCATAGTTAATTATGGTAGATCAACAACAATTTCTTATATCACGCAAGAAGTAAAGATAAATATAGAACATTAGCCCTAAATCGATTTCACTGCTTCCCGCCACTCCTGGAGATCGATTTCACCATTTCTCTCTGTTTTCTCTATTTGTTCCATATTCAAGCCCTAAATCGATTGACGAAATGAATGATATGTGAATGGTTGTTACAATTGTAGAAATAAAAGAGAGAGAGAAGGAATGCAGAGATGGGTTAGGTCCCAATTGTACTGCTACTCCACGGCTTCCCTGAGCTCTGGTACTCCTGGCGCCATCAAATCATCTACCTCGCCGCCCACGGGTACCGAGCAGTCACCCCTGACCCCCGTGGCTATGGAGACACCACCGGAGCACCTATTGACGATCCTACCAAGTTCACTACACTCCATGTTGTCGGCGACATGGTTGCACTCATCGCCGCTCTTGGTGTAGATAAGGTGTTTGTGGTTGGGCATGACCGGGGTGCCATGATTGCTTGGAGCCTTTGTTTATTTAGATCTGACAAAGTTAAAGCCTTGGACAATTTGAGCGTTCACTTTGGCCCAAGAAACCCTCATTAGAAAATTGTAGAGATTTTCCGTGTTGCATACAGAGATGATCACTACATTTGCCGATTTCAGGTAACATTTCTGCTATAAAACTCTTACCGAAATTTTAAGAACTATATCTTGTTGTAGGAACCATGGGAAATAGAAGTTGTGTTTGCGAGTCTTGGAACCAAGAAGGTTTTTGAGAAATTCTTGACACATCGTGATCCTGATCCGTTTTATTTCCCTAAAGATAAGCCCTTCGGAGCTTTTGTGACAACCCGATATTTCGAGACAATGAAATGTAACACCAGTTAAATATAGGTAAAAAATTAACTTTCCTAAAATCTTATTTGGGTTAAATAAAGTGGTAGGAATCGTATCAAGGTTTTCGTGCATATAAAGAACACTAAAATCCGAGTTATAACGAAAAAGTTATGACCAATCTAAGATTCGCAGCAAAAATCGGCAACACTGATAGACGTAAAACGCGAAGTTTCAATACAATAATTTTTAACCTTAGGTATCTAAATGAAAGTTTTAGATATCCTAAAACCGTAAACATACATAAAAAGAATTCCCAAATCTGACTTCATATGAGGAAGTTATGATTTTTCGAAGTTTCAGATATAGCAGTAGACAGCTAAAAACTCGAAATCGAGATCGAACGGATTTTTGCCAACATGACCTAAACAAGAATCGAAGATCTCATCAATGGTATTACAACGGTAAAAAGTCTGGCGAAAACAGACAGGGAACGAAGGAGTTATGAAATTTTAACGGACTTTTCTTGTCCCGGCCTATTAAAAATATTATATTAAAAATAAAATCAAAATTAGCCGACGGAGTCTAAACGAAAGTTGTAGATCGTAGTCTCACCTACGCATGGATATAAAGAACTTCAAAAACAGAGTTCGTATGAGGAAGATATGAATTTTTGAAGTTTATTAATAATTAAAATATTTAATTTAGTTATAAATACCCGATATTATCCGTTGGAGGAGGAGTCACCGGTCTAATCCGGATTACGCCCAGCGTAATACCTTGGTACACCCAGCGTAATCCGAGGATTCAGACCCTATATAAAGGGTGCGAGGATGCCGGCCAATTTTGCTCATTTCCTCCCTTTCTCGCGCCGAAGCTCTGCATTTCAACCCTCAGAGCCATCCCAAAGTCCCGGTTTTCATATCCAAGTTCGGAAGGAAGTTTTACGCTCCCGAGATTCCCGAGATTCCCAAGAATCTCGAGAGATCCGCTTTCTCGAGTAGAAGTTCTGCTCGGTTTTCGTCACGCTTTCTTCAATCAATCAAGTGAGTTCATACCCCTACAATCCACACTTTTAAATGTTTTATAAATATTTTTATATGCTTTTAAGGGGGCGAATACAAGTAAAACACTCGATTATTATCATGTGTTATACAAAGTTTCATTATACACTTTTTATCAATGGAATCATATGTGATTTATAACTATTATAGGGAAACTTTCGTATGCAAAATATACCACGATAACATCTTATCTTTTGAAATAAGAAATGATTTATGGATATATGTAAATCAAACACTCTGCTTATACTGTATGTCTGTATGTATATGTGTCCATCTTTGGCACGAAAAACATCAATCTTTTGCTATACTTGTTTTTAATTAATCAATCTTATGGGATTTATAACTAGTATACAAATGGATTTACTACACGTTTAGCAGTTTCACCAAACATAATACTTCAAATGACTTCTTAAACGTTTTTACATGTTTAAAACTCTTTATCACACTGTCTTACACACTGTAAGTTCCTTTCAAACTCTGTTACATGGGTGTTTTCAAACAAATATTTTCCTTATACTTAAACTGTCTTATCAAACAAAATACTTTCAATCGTTTTATAAACTGACATCATGTCGATCTTTTCTTAGATATTAATCTTTTTCAAAGGTTTTACAAAACTTCTTTTATGCTTTTATATTATCAAATGCATGCCCATATATTTATAGTTATATAAGTAATGTTTAAAGGACTTAGGGAGGCTAACTCATTCTATTTCTTTTTCCTCATTGGGATGTGGCTATGGGATATCGTCTATCCGTCCGAATATCATCTAAATATTAGTTATATATATATATATATATATATATATATATATATATATATATATATATATATATATATATCATGTGTACATATGTAGACATAAAAGTTTTCCTCAATCAGTTCGGTACCTTTGGGTAGCAAAGGCATACTTCAGGTTATACACGTACATTACTAGTAACTATAATAGGTATAGTTAGGATATACTATTTACCATTTCAAGTACAAGGAATCACACAAGAGTCAGTTCATTCATGAGTCTATACAATACATTACATGCTACATGAATATGATTACATAGATGCGCTTACATGAATACGTTTACATAGATACGCTTACATGAATCCTCTTACATGGATACTTTTACCTAGATACTATATGATGAGATACTATTACATATTATACATATAAATTAGATCTATCTAAGTACAAGGAATCACACAAGAGTCAGTTCATTCATGAGTCTATACAATACATTACATGCTACATGAATATGATTACATAGATGCGCTTACATGAATACGTTTACATAGATACGCTTACATGAATCCTCTTACATGGATACTTTTACCTAGATACTATATGATGAGATACTATTACATATTATACATATAAATTAGATCTATCTATCCTAGTACAAACAGATACTTTGCGGGGCTAACCATTCTTATAACCTCTGTTAGCTACAGAGGTAAATGCACATCTATGGGTGTCTACGGTTGATACCATTATAGGTATACTTTAAGGGATTAACTATTCCTACACCCAACTGTTAGCAACAGAGGTAAATGTACATTTTCGGATGACTACAGTTAATACTATTCGGTAATTCCTATGTCGTGTTTATCCTAGTACCAAAGGATAATATTTAAGTTATTAGTTCATTTCCTTTACTTTGTTATACATTCGCATAAACGACGAGGTAGACTAATACTTATATAATTATATTACTACCTTTATTTTGTGACACATTTACATAATCGATGAGGTAGATTATAGTTTTATAACAATAGTTAAACAGGGAAAAACCGTCACATTTACAGTGATGCGTACTTTCAAAACAGTTAGGTCTTGGTAGAAGACTACTCTTTATACTAATAGAAATCATAGTGATTTGCTAGGGTGTTCAAACGTTTTCAACTACTTTCAAACAGTTCATACTTATACATACTTTTTTCCAAATGTTTACAAGTCTTTACTTTCCAGTTTTGCAAATCAAAGACACATTAATACTTATGAATTCACCAGCTTTATTGTTGATACTCGCTTTCAAAATAACTTGTATTCTCAGGTCACAAATAAGACAGGTACGACGACCAGGTTTTGTGAAGACGGAGCAGTCCAGACTCGTCTTATTCTGATTATTCATATTATTTTTGTATATTATGAAAGAACACACTTGTAACTAAAATTATACTATTAATGCAATGGATGTTGTTGTTTCTTGTTTACTACTTTACATTGTTGTGATACATTACATAACATCCTCCGCCCCAGAACGTTTCCGCCATTCTCGGTTTTGGGGTGTGACAGCTTTGTATGATACTCCTGTCATCTTGCCATTATGGTTATCCGAAGAAGATGTTGAATATTACACCAAAAAGTTCGAGCAAATTGGTTTCACAGGAGGAATAAACTACTACCGATGTTTTGACCTGTAAGTTTTTATCTATTCTTTATGTCTTTACTTGTTGAATTGAATAATTACTTATATTGTTGTTGTTGTTCCTTTTCAGTTGTTGCACAGAAAGTACAATGGGAATTTCCTGTTTAATATGTTGGGAAAATGGAAGGAATCTGAATACTTTGGTCAATCTGTTCCAGTTGGTGGTCTTGCTTATTATGTTACCGCACCTTCTTAAGGTAATGACTGACTCCATTCACATTCCTTGATTTATGATGATTTATTATTTGTTTGCATGTGAATATCATCATCAGCTTGGTTGATATGGCAGCAAATCCCTTCCATGCTCTCTTCTTTTTTTTTCTTTTTTTTAAATATTTTAGTTAATTGAGTAATACTTAAAGGTTTGCAAACTATCTTTAAATGGTTTCAAACTTTATAATTTTTTATTTTCACCTACAGTAATATAACTTGTTTGCTTTATCAAATGAATGTTAACCTAAAAATTCTTTCAGAATGAGGGTAATATTCTTTTAGAATAAAGAGGGTTTTAGTTTAAAGAAGGCTACTATTCTTTCAGAATGAAGAAGGGAAATATTCTTCACATGTAATCCTGCAAATTGATCAGACCTAGACAACCAAAAAGGGTAGGGAAGCCTTAATTTTATTACAATGATTGTTCTCTAGGAATGAACTCGAATTTTATTCTTTATTTTTTTTTCATATCAGAATGCAAACATAAGTGTATCACTACAAATTACTTGGCAATGAATTTCTGATAGAAATGACTTGAAGAATGGCTTAAAGACCTGATGGGAAAGACTTGAAGAATGAATTAAAGAATGATCACACTCATTGTTTAAGAATGTTGTTATTCTTTAAGAATTATACTTGTTATTCTTTCAGAATGTTTGTTATTATTTAATTAATCACAATCATACAATGTAATTATTTGGTATATTATTAGTTCAAGAATCGTTTTGTGTATTCTTTCAGAATATATTTACTAGTTTATGGTTGATATTCTGTCATTCTGACAGAATAAAATCGAAAAATATATTTAGTAGTTTATGGTTAAAATTCTATCATTCTGATAGAATAAAATCGGATTTTTAATTTTAAATTAATTTAAAATATTCAAATTTTTAAAAATAAATGAATTAATTATCCCTAAAAATCCGAAAAATTTCGTTTTTTTAATATAGGTTGATTGACTAAAATGTCCTTATGCTCAAATTTGTGTGATTATATGGTACATGTTATCCTATTCTACTATCATAGACTCTCAGATCATGAACTTTGATTATATTCCATCACATGGTCTAGATCTGTGCATTCTGACACACAATAGTTACTAGAAACAAAATAACCTAACCCTATATATATATATATATATATATATATATATATATATATATATATATATATATAGGGGAGGGTTCAATTGAGAAAAAAAAAGGTTGAGAATGGTGGAATCATTCTCAGTCAATCATTTATTTTTGTCGCAAAAGGCTACAACGTACCGGCGGAAATGAGAAATGAATGCACATGTGTTTTCCAACATAACATATTTCCTTAAACTACGCTAATCATTACCTTAATATATACAAAAAATAGTTTTTTCGTTTTTTTAATTTTTATAAGCTATTTTTATCAAAAAATGATTTTAAATATACCAAAATTCATGATTTTTTATTCTCTACAAATAGACATCCATATTGATATAGTTTTAAGATAAAATAAAATTTTTTTTTTTTTATATTTTTCAGCTATCGTTATTCATAAATGAATAACAATGCATCGGATTTTATTACAATACATTCGTTATTCACTTATGAGTAAAAAGTATGATTTTTTTTTACAATGTAAGTATCATTCATATATGAATATAGCATATAATAAACATAGTATATTCATATTTTAATATTTGACGATGAATTCACTTGTGAATATTAACATAGTATATTCACTTGTGAATATTAGATGGTATATTCACTTATGAGTATTAAATGATATTTCATATGTGAATATTACATATAATTACATGGTATATCACATGTGAATATTACAGAGTATATTCACTTGTGAATATTAGATTATATATTCACTTATGAATATTACACAGTATATTCACATATGAATATTACAAGGTATATTCACTTATGAATAATGAAGGTATTTTGACAAATATATATAATTTTTATATGTTATTCACATATGAATAACATACAGACTTGCATATTTGTTTTGTGTTTTTTAATAATCATATACTGATTCAGGTGAGAAAACATATTCATATATGAATATAACGTGGTAATTTAGTTTATGCATTTCATCAAACAGTTGGAGTGCAAACAAGTTAACTATTTTAAAAATGTTAAAAACATCAAGTTATCAATTTCAAATCATCATATACTTCCGATTTCGACTTCAAATGCAACATCCTATCTCTGATCGATTTCTCAATTTGATTTTGATTTCCGAAAATCCGATTGGGAACCTGTGAGTACCGATTCTAAGTCCCTCAATGTCGACTGTGATTGCAAGTCCAGAACTCCGATTCCAATTTCAAGAACAACGAAGAAATTCCGGTTTAGTTGAAGAAATCTGGATGATTATTGAAGGTTGGAGGAAAATTTTTGATGATGAACGAACAGTTATCGAATTCTCTATAGTTACGTATTTGAGATTGAAGGTTATTACGATATTTACAAGTTTGCCACCGTGTCTTTTATGCTTAGATTAAATGAGTGGCTGAGAATGATTCTCCCATTCTCAACCTTTTTTATTTTCTCAATTGAACCCACCTATATATATATATATATATATATATATATATATATATATATATATATATATATATATATATATATATATATATATATATATATATATTACAAAAGCAAAATTACAAAGCCTCTAATGTTCAAACATATGTTTCTCTATATGAAAGGGAGTCTCAAATTAAGGGAAGTGATTTGTACACAACAATTCATGCATTATATAGTTATACAATATAACATTTTAAAACACCAATTATTATGTATAGAGAAAAATTGTTGTGTACGGATCAGCTCCCTTAAATTAAGTTGAAACAAAAGTGAATATGCAATTTTATCTTACTCAACAAAAATCAATCTTATTACGAGACGTTGAGCGGGAAGACTTTCGTTTGTTTATCTTAGTATTCCTATTGGATAGATATAGCTAGGGTGTAAAGTTGACAAAATGTAAAGTTGGCTAATTGGAATGTAAAAATACTTTCCATTCCATTGGAGACTGTTCGACTTTATTTAATATCTTAGGTTAGTGACTAAATTACACGAATGGTCCCTATGGTTTGGGATAATTTACGCGTTTTGTCCCTAACTTATTTTTTTAACTCGGAAGGTTCCTACTATTTGTTTTTATTACGCGCTTGGTCCCTATTGTATGTTTTTATTACGCGTTTGGTCCCTGTCTTACCTAAAAATACTATTATTTAAATAGAAAAAAATGATTGGATAGATAAGATAAGGTGAATGGGGTGGGGTTGGGGTGTGTTTATTTAAATAAATTAAAAAATCAAAAGCAAAATAGTCTTTTTAGGTAAGATAAGGACCAAGAGCGTAACAAAAACAAACAATAAAGACCTTCTGAGTTAAAAAAAATAAGTTAGGGACCAAACGCGTAAATTACACTAAACCATAGGGACCATTCGTGTAATTTACTCTAGGTTAATTGGATATACCTTCTAACCTGTTGATGATTTTTAGCCCTAATCTTTCAAGAGAACTTCGATTCAACTTCAATCTTCCTTCTACCTCCTAAAATCACCATTACTCTTATCTCAAACCAAAATCATTTTTCCAAGTAGGAGTGAAGAGAGAAGTGTGTTTATGTTTAAAAATTTACTTATTCGCACATTAACCACTAAACTTTTAAGTTCTCCATTTGATTCCTTAGTAGCTTCTATTTCACCTTCTAATCACAAAACTTCTCAAAAGAATTTAGAATGATTACATTCTTAACATTTTTGGTCCAAAACTAGTTAACCCTACATTTTTCCCGAATTTGGTAAGTTTAGTCCTTCAAATTGCCAATAATTTAGGTTTAGCCTATCAACTTTGTCTAAAATCAAGTCCTACACATAATATAGTTGCCTTAATCTCATTTCAAAGAGCTATATATATTAAATAATGGTCTTTCCTATTTTCACCAAAAAAACCATCTTTTTCCTCCTGTTGAACCTTTAACACTCACTGCAACTGGTTCATCATCTTTTTTCCTATTTTCAAGTCCTTCCTTTAATGCCTCCATTCTTTTCCTGCATAACATAACATGTGCAATTGAATTAACAAAATCTTTAAAGTTATATATATAATAACAAGAAGAAATATAAGCTACACCAATTAATTAAATTGTGAAAGGGTGTATGAATATTACTTTGTATCAGTAAGACGACCATGTAAACTCCATCTTTGGCGAAACCCTTCTGCACCTTCCATCCCACTTGCAAGAATCAATCGCCTAAAAATGCAAGTTAAAAAAAATTAAAAAAGATTTAAACAAGAATCATTAACAATATAGCATACCTCTCTAAAGTTGTGGTTTCAGACTCTAGTTGAGAAGCTCTTTCTTTTGCTTGATCTAAAGGCATTGATAACCCTAATTTATACTCGCTCTCTTGAAGACGTTTTCTTAGTTCCTTGTCCTTAAATATTTAATATTTATATTGTCATCTACATCATCTTTGCAATTCAAAACCACAACGAATATTGTTAAAGAAAAAGAAAAAGGAAAACTATACTCGTTTTTCTGCACACTCTCGATACAAAGCAATCTCTTCTTGACAAAATGGCTCTATATCATTAACTTGAAGACCTGAAGTTTTTAAGTGAGAAGATAAGTTGTCATGAAAAATGGCCAATGGGCAAAATGATTGGGAAATGAAGATGAAAAACTTACACAGAAAAAGGTTTCTCAAAATCCCATCACACAAATTAACACCTTCAAGAACATGTGAAGCAATTTCAGGTGGAATGAGTGGTGATGGTGGCCCTAACATCAGATCATCTCCAACAAGAACTGTTTCCTCCATTGTTGGTTGAGCATCGACTGAACATTTATTCCAATCACAAGTCACAAGAGTCATATCATGCAAAAGAGAAATGAATATATTATATATGTAAATGTAACAAAAACAAAAATGAAGCAACATACCATCCATGATTGCTCCTTTTGATTAACGTTATCTGTAATTACAAAGTAAATGGAATTAGTAAATGCTGCAAACAGAGATCTAGATATGAACAGAACAAGGTATTTACTTGTGGGAAGCTTTAACAGCCATAAATGTAAACAAACAATTGACACTCTGTAATGAAACATGTCCCCAATATCATAAACCCTAAACCCTAACATCGGCAAGAAAGTAAAGAAAAAATTGGGGCGAAAATGTCGTTGTCAAAGGAAGATTTATCAGATGAAGATGATGATAAAAATTGAGGCAAAAATTGATGTATTGTACAAATTAAATTAATCTTACAGTTTGCCATCATTCACTTTTGAATTCTTGTTATTGTTTGTTCTACTTATGGTTTCGTTTATTACAAATCATTCCGTAGTCTTATTATCTGTGTAAAGACTGTGGCTGTAAAGTATCTTGCTAAACCAATTGCAGGCAGAGTGGAACTGTGGATGTACTCACCGAGCTTTGAGGAGAAGCCGTTTTGCGATGGATGGGGGAGGCGGAGTGTGGCGGCGACTGAAGGAGTGTCGATCGATGGCGGACTATGGTGCTATACTGCTAGTCTGCGATTGAGAATTGGAAATTAGTGCACCCAGGTCTCAGCCTCTCAGGACTGTGTTACTCATCAATTCCAGAAAAATAAGTCAATTTGCTTCATGATTCAGAAAAAGAAAGAGACTTGCCACACAGGAACCACACACGAAAAAGAAATTTATATGCGTCATCTCATTTCCAGAAAAATGAATTGATTAGCCTCATCGATTCCAGAAAAAAAGGAATCGATGTGCTACATGATCAGGAAAAAAAAACACTTACCAGGAGATCGGAGAAGGGTCGACGGGTAAAGGGAATATGGCAGCTGGAGTGAAAAGTTCACGAGGAAGCGAGGTTTTCATCAGACGTGAAGAAGAGAAGGTAGACTAACGAGGGTATTATTGTCTTTTTGGTAAATGAACATTTTCTCCTAATAGCATGTTCTAAGAACATTTCGTATTTGAGTCGGTTAATGTATTCTACAAGACGATATACCAGAGCATTTTTTCATTCCGGAGATGTGGGTGGTTGGTAGGAATTAGGTCCGCAATTTGCCACTCTATATATTTTGGACTGAAAAAATGCATTTTGGATTGTACTTCGAAAAAATCGTACATTACGGAAGTCTATTCCGGAAAAATAAAATTAGGAGATTTGTGTGTTTATGTTCCATATATTTTTATAAATGCAATATATTTGTGTTTTTGACACCTTCATTACATGTTCTGGAATGAGTATGTGTATGAGATTTTTTTCGAGTGTTAATTTCTAGTGGAGGGCAATGGCAACGTATCGAAATATGTATGCAATATATTGCTCCATATTACACATTTTTGTTGTAGATATAAGCAATGATGTCAACTTCGTCGGGTTAATTACATTGGTTGCTTCCAAGTTCAAGTTACACACTAACCAAATACGTTTTATCTTTTTAATGTCTTGTATCATATATAGTTATGTAGATTCTAGATGATAACGATTTAAGATATATTCTTAGTTTTGTTAGTAGTATGCTTCCCAACAAAGTACAATTGTTTGTTGTTAGTAACATTATGGAAAATGGTATTCATCGATTTGTTTGGCAAAATCGTTCTCGTGGAAATGGGTCTTCTAGTGCTCAAAGTTAGGGATGAGATTTAGAACCGGAAAATCGGATCGGAATCGGAAGCGGATCGGAACCGAAGTCGTTAGAACCGGGATATGTAAAACCAGATCGGGCCATGAGATTAAAGAATGACTCTATCCGGGTTTCGGGTCCTTCGAGTCCGGGTAAATAGGGTTTAAGAATCGGAACCATGTTAGGAACCGAAACCGATTTTAAGGGACGGAACCGGTTTCTGTGAAAAGTTTAAAACATGCATATCTTATTCGTTTGAACTCTTATTGGCATGAGGTTTTTTCCAAATTGTATTTTATAGTTTGTATATGATTTTAAACTTTAATTTTGTCATTTTTGGGTTTATATTCATTGAATTACAGTCTCTCAAAGACGAGATATCAAAGCTGGAAATTTTATGTTTTTCAACTTTTTTTTTGTATACATGGATAGTTTTGAAACATGCATATCACATTCGCTTGAGGTCGGATTGACATGACAGAGTGTAATTTATAGTTTGTACATGATTTTAGACTATAATTTTATCATTTTTGGGTTTATATTCATTGACTTATAATCTCTCAAAGTCGAGATACCAAAACTGGAAATTTTATGTTTTTCACCTTTCTTTGTATTTTGTGATAGTTTTAAAACATTCATATCTAATTCGTTTGAAGTTATAATAGCATTCATTTTTTTTCCAAAGTGTAGTATAGAATTTGTACATAGTTTTATACTATAATTTTGTCATTTTGGCTTCATATTCATTGATTTATAGTCTCCTAAAGTTGGAATATCACAACTGCGAATTTTTTTCAGTTTTATTTTTGTATTCTGTGAAGTTTTAAAACATACATATCTAATTCGTTTGAAGTCGAATTATCATGAGGCTTTTTTGCAAAGTGTAGTTTAGAGTTATGATTTTAGACTATAATTTTGTCATTTTTGGTTTAATATTCAATGACTTACAGTCCCCTGAAGTTGGGATATCAAAGTTGAAAATTATCAGTGTTCAACCACTAAGTAATTACCAAAAAATTCCTGTTTTCCCGGGTTTTTCGGTTCTAAACCCACTTTACCCGGTTCCATCCGATCCACTTTGATATTTTCGGGTTTTCCAGTTCTAGACCCACTTTACCCGGTACCTTACCCGAAACCGAACTGGAACCGGTTCTTATATACCAGTCCGGTTTCCGATCGTACAAAATCTCGTTAACCGATTCCCGGGTTTTCCAGGTATGGGTCTACCGATCCAGGTTTGGACTCACTCTCATTCATACTCAAAGTAACCAAATGTGTAATTTATTACTTATGACAACCAACCATGTTCCTTCTTATAATAGCCCTGTAGATGGGGTGATTATAGGAATAAAAGGTAAGGTTGTTGTTGATGCTTCTCCTGATGTTGATGAATTTTGCAAATGATGATGAAAAAATAATGATGTTGGTTAATAATGGTAATATAATTCCATATAGAGATCCAGTTGAACATTTTTAGAGTTGCACTGAATTCTATGGGGAAGATATTGAAAGTGAAGAGGAAGAAACTGAGCCCTTACAATCCCAAAAATCACAACATGAAAAGATTCCTTTTTATTTTTTTTTTTATTATCAAGAAAACATAAACCACCCATTGGGGTATAACTGAACCTTTACCATTGCCCGAACTAGCTCAAAAAAAATGCATAGTTGTCACAAACCACAATTATACTTCCTATGTGAAGTTATTTCAACTCTTTAAAAGCAAAAAACAACTTAAGCTTAACATTGGATTAAAAAATGTTACTAAAGGCTTCCAATATAAAGTGAAAAACATCCACAAAAGAAAGGTTTGAAGTTGTTTGCTTTATGGATAATTGTGATTGGCGTCTGGCGGATACGGGCAACAAAACATAATACTACTGATACATTTCAAGTGGTTAAACTATCAGAGAAAAACACATTTGCTCAAACACACAACTACGTCCCTATCACCGACAAGCCAACAAAAAGGTGTCGGGTCACTTTTTTAAGGGCATATTAGTTGATAGTACATGGAATATATTGTGGGGGAAACAAATACAAACAACTTTAAATGACCATCTTAGTGTACATATTTCATATTGGTAAGCATGAAATGCTAAAATATATGCTCTAGATATGTTGAGATGGACCCATAGAGAAAGTTTTCAAAGACTACCTTTATATTGTTACAACTTGGAGAAGAATAATTCAGGGACAATTATGATGGTTTTTACACATAGCAAACAATCATATGTGTGCATGCAACCCTAATTTTAGGATCTATGTTTTCACTATTAGACATACGCTTATTGAATACAAAACTAGAGACCCTAGGAGGTACATGTAATTTTCCAAATTAACATATAATTAGGGTTAGGATACACACATTTATTGTTATATTGTAATAACAAACAAATCCTTGAAGATCTTGAACATTGGTAGCAAGCGCCACAAGTGTCGCGTCTCTAATGGCTCACAAACAAACCTAGCAACCAAGGATTATTATGGAGGGAGAGAAGGAAAGTGGAAAATTCATCTCCAAGACTTTCTTGGAGTGCATGGGATGAAATCCAACCCTATAAGGGTTTATATAGGTGATAAGGAAGGTTTAGGATAAGACATGTGTATCTTGGATAAACCTAATCCCTTAACTTCCTCCTTAAGGCTTCCAAGGCACACTTAGAGTCCAAGGAAACCATAGGACACTCTACATTTCATTCCCCATATCTAAGGGATGTCCTAGAATGCTCAATGCTCAACTTTTGAACATTGCCACCTTTAGTCAATGCAGTGTCAATTAATTCCTTTGATCCTAAAATTAATTCCAAATTAATTTATGATTAAATACTAATTAAACAATATGATTTCTAATTAATATATTATATCCATAACACATTAATAAATCATTTATCTTGATTTCAAATTAATTTATTAACCAATTAATAAATTAACAAATCATTATTCTCTCTCTAATAGTTATCATATTCAATTGTCACGTTTGAAGGCAACCCAAAAGGACATTGATATTATCAATTCAAGTACATACCAATTATAGTTATGGGCTTAGACACCTAATCCAACAGTCTCCCACTTGGATAAGTCTAATAACTATAGTTGCAAGTATAACTTCAAAAATTGACTAGCAAAATTTTAGCTACCAAAAGCCGTTGTCGAACTTTGATCTTATCAGTAATGCGTCCTTTAGATAAGATATCAAATATTTATCCGTTCTACAAGATATCATATGAACACGAGACATGGGTTATAATTATTCTCTTTGTCCAAGTTCTGTTTCCCGATTTCCAATTTATGACGACTGACAATACAATACAATTGAACACATCAAATTAGTCTAGGTTTGGCCAAGCACTTTATTTATCATCACTAAATCATTGAGGGGCCCACATATATTATTTTTATCCCTCTTAGGGTAAAAGGAATGGATAATCTTCGACTTATATGATTGCACAATTTACTCATAAAATCACACACAACAATATGTTTTATAACATCAAGTTACTGATGTGTTTATGTATTATTAATGCATAACCAACTCATAAACAACAACTCATATGTCTCTGTTTCAATAATATAAGATATTATCGTCTCACAATCACTCATGATAAAATCCATGAAGTGATTCAAATGAGCATGAGTTTAATCCAATACTCAAATCCCTATTTCAGGAGTACTCATGAACACTGTAGCAACCATTTGCCATGTCTAAGCACTTAGACAGTCTTACAGTCGAATTCATGACAATCTTAATTCAATACTTACTTCCAAAGTATGACCGACTGTGGATGTTTGAATAACCTAGTTATTCGGGAAGTAAAACATGAATGAAACACGGGAATAATATAATTCAATATGGTCTCAACACTTTTGAATATAAATAAAACACATTTTATTTAATCACCATATTAATTATACTTTTATTCATTGTTTAAGGTTTCGACTAATCAACTAAATACTTGAATTAAAAACAATAGTTATCCCATGCTCCAAACATGCACACTATGTTTAGCGATGGACCTTCCTTTGTGAAATAGATCAATCGAACACATTTCCAATGACGCTCATTTCACAATTCCAAATCCTTATCACAAGTGTAAGAATGCCAAATTCTTGCCACTATTATAATGTGTTAGATTCTAAACTATCATGCAATAGTCCTTTTGTAATGTCAAGGCACCAAAGTCACAACGACTTTTCCAATTACAAAGCATTCTATTAGATATTGTTACAATATAATTCCTCGAAGCGATGTCTCACATTCAAGCCACATTCCTTGAACATCCTTCTTGCATAAAGTTTCTAACTTATACTTAGATTCTCAATATCCAACTCCCATTATGGAAACATTTCCATAATTTCAATATATCAATTCATTCTTAATAGAATCCTATTTACTGAGAATCACATC